CTAGAAGAAGTTTCAGATTATCCCAATCATAAGCCTTCAATCTAAGCAGATTAAGGCTGTTAGAAGGAAAAGAATCTACTAGGATGAATAAAGGAAACATGAGCAGTACCCTTGAGAAGCTAAGCATCTTCTGCTTTTGTCTACTGATGAAAGACCAAACCATTTTCTCCAACTCCATGATATCTTGCCACATCAGCAGACTGTTTTCTGACGTGGCAAAAACATGCAAATTTAATATATAGTTTTTTAAATTTGTATGCAGGGCATTTTGGTAAATTAGTTTTCCTTAGTTAGTAAGAAAAGAGAGAGTTGAGCAGCAACACTACCAATTGAGTGCTGTGTTTGGCTAGTCGGAAAGAAGAATAGTGAAAAAAAAGTAAAATAAGAAATACAAAACAAACCCTCCCTAAAAAACATATACTTTATGCCCTTTGAAGATCTCCCTTTAAAATTCCAAGCTCTGTTTCCCATGCAACAAAAGGAACAGTCTTAGTTTCTTGTGCTAAATGTGTTTCTTTATGCTTTTCTTTCTTTATTTTGGCCATCTTGCTCTCATTCAAAAATGTTCATGATCTATCTTTCATCATCATCATCATCTGTTCATGATCTATCTTTCATCATCATCATCCAGATACATTGTCTTTCTTACTTTAAAATAGAAACAAGATGGAACATTCTAAAGCTTCTGTTTTTATGCTTTATCATAAACACCCGATCCGATGCTGATGGTGTTTCAAGATTAAAGGGTACCCATCTACTTGCTTAATTGGTTTCAAGATTGTGGTGCAGCCAAAGTTATATCGAGGCAGGATGTGGGCCCTCGTGCTTTGGTTACGGCAAGGGCACCTAAAGGTTAGATTTAAATGTGATGTACTTATTAGATACACTTGTCTGCTTAGTTAAAGTAGAATCTCATGGCATGATCAGTTTAGCATTTTTAGCCAGCCAAAATAAAGTAGTAGTTATATTTTAACTAGTTATAGAGAAGCTCTTGTGATATTGTCTTTGCAGCTTGTAGATTCTCAAGTCTGGTCCTAAAGAAATTGCTTTTGTTAACTTTAATGCAAATTTTGGGTCCATTAAGGTCTGCATCAAAATACCCTCCACAATATATATATATATATATATATATATATATATATATAAGTACAGGATCTGCTTAGTACCATCAGCAGTGCACTTGGTACTTTCTAAAGATGCACACATTTGGTTGTATGTGGCTCATCCCCAGGTGAAAAATCTTAGTGGAATGGTTCAAAATAGCCAATTTTTTACTTCAAATTCTCTTTATAGCCGTTCTTCTACATAATTGATCGAAATAGCTAAGGTTTTGTAATAGCACTTTAGCAACTTATGGAATCTACTTTTTATGAATATAATATTGATAAAGTAGCAATTTCGCAGTTGTTAAAGTGTTACTTGCTAAAGGTGTTAATTACTCAACTTGCTAAAGTGTTGCTTTGTAAATATTAAATTCATAAAAATAGATTTCACAAGTTGTTAAAATGCTGCATGCAAAATCTTGGTGGCCGTAAGATGAATTTGACATTCCGGAAGGGCAAAATGCATGAAATAGCAACCTACTTTCATAAATTTTCTTTATTATAGCATTGTATTTTCAGTTTTTCTTATTATAACAATGTACCTTCAAATTATTTTTTATTAAGGTGTTGTACTTTGAAAAATGTACCTACTATAGCATTGGTAACATTCTGATTTATATTTACCCATTATACCAGGTTTTGATGCCACCTCACTGTCCACGTAGGTTGTCCACATGTACCATACACTAATGTGACATTTCTTATTATAACATTGTATTTTCAAAATTATTTTATATTATAGCATAATCAGTTTCTATTACAACTTTGTACTTTTAGTTTTAATATTTTATAATCTAGATATTGTGCATTTAATCAAACATGTTTATCTAAATTTAGTATCCGTTTCTAATCCTAAATTTCAACAAAAATTTGATCTCCCAAAATCGAGATTATATCAAAGGATAACCTTTCGATTTAAACTAGTATGACATGACACAAGTTTCCAGGTTTCTATGTCATGTCATTGTCTACATGAGATGTCCACGTGTAAAAAAATTTTGATGTGACATTTCTGATTAAAATATTGTAGTTTGAAAAAAATTGATTTTACATATTATTTAACAAGTGTATTAAATGAATTAAAAATTTTCTAAATTATTCATTAATATACCAATATTAAGAAGACTAGTAAGACATAATTTATCCGACTAACATTTTAAAAA